TGGATATTGGATAATACTTAATTTAGATCCTCCAGGCTGCTCACACCATATTTTATTTTATCAGAATCGCTTTGGTAGAAGAACGGGGCTTGTGTTTGAACAACTGAGCAAATAATGTTTGTCTGACAATGAGCACAGCAAAATCTTGGTATAAGGAATCTGATTAAACTCTTGACCAAAGCGTACAGCTCTGAGTTTATATTTGTCACCATGGTTACGTGGATATCACAGTGCAGCATTGCACACTTCCACCTGATTGTGAACGGCTCCACGGGCCTCACCTTTTGAGTGCACTAAAACTCTGCTTAAGGTTTCTTCTAGTTATTCTAATAAGTGATTTAGTACTCAAGTATCTCCCTCTGTGTGTTTCACAGAAATAGGAATTTACCAATGGGCATCCTTACTGCATCAAATACTTATGTTCAGCTCATTCCAAACAAAGCTTACGCAGATTGAGAATTCATATGCCAGAGGTAAATCCGAGTTAACACGGATTTATACTGGCATGAGTTAAAGGACTAGAGTTTGTAATCCAGGTGGCCAAGGGATTTTACCATACAGTGGCAAAAATCACTTAAAACTCCCCCAACATCCTGAGCCACTGAGCTCAGTAAGCAGACAGATTGTTCAGAATTGATGACAGCACAAGTATATCAGAGCTGGACTCTGTGTTTGTGTGTGTGTGCATGTGTGTCCGCGTGTTTGCGTGTATGTACGTATGCCTGTGTTTGTGTGTGTGCGCATATGTGACCATGTTTGCTTCCTATATATACTCAATTAGTACTAAAGGGGCTGTTTAGAATAAGACCTTGACAGATTGGTATTATTTTCATTTACCATGGTAGGGGAGGTGTATTGGGAATACTGCCTTCTATCTGCATAGACATCAGTAGCACTAATAAAAAGACAACTAGCTCAATTTCAATGGCTGACTCATAAGTAAATTGATCAAAGTCTCTATAATATTAAAATAATTGATGTTTTAATAGACTTTAGCTTGATCACCATACTCACAACATTCAGAACACTCTGTGAAGAACAAAGGTGTGTGTGTGTATTTGTGTATGGGTGAGTGTGCGTGTGCGTGCACATGTGTGTGGAGGACAGAGGAGCAGAGATAGAGTGGAGTTGTTTAATGACAGGAACAGCTGACTCATTTAGAGAGAGCAGTGAAAGGTAATTAACCCTGGGAAAACTACAGCTGCCATGCGAGCTGTTCACTTCAGCGCAATCTGATTAGGAATCACTGCTCGAGTCCCTGACTCCTTTCAGACGCGTGTGTGTTTGAGGTAAACTTTTCCCTTTTGCCCCGGAGAGCCCCAGAGCACTGGAGACCTGCCTTTTGTGACGGGGGATTAGCTGGAACGGTTACTACGTTTCTCCAAATTGCAGACCACCTGGTAGCATTCATGCAACCTCCTCCATGAAAGGGCCTCCTTGGGCAGGAACAATGAGCAGGATTACTCTGGTCATTGTTACACCAGGACTGGAACTTATTTTTCCCCGAACACCTGTCCCCAAATTAGACATGTTTGAAAAAAGCATGTTCATAACAAAATTCAAAGATTCAAACTAACATGAGAGTGGTTTGGCACACTGGAGACTTGCCAATGGACGAGTGTCTGCTGCGCCATTGATTATGCTATTGATGCAGAGTGTAGTGTAATAAGATACTAATTTTATTTGTCTCAATATTTTGGTGTTCTTAATTGGATTGAAATTCACAAATAAAATAGCATATCATCTAGGCCCCTTTCATACGACGAGAGATTTAAAAGCACCAGAAATTTGGTCAAAAACAGAAATTGGCTCTTTGATGTCAGAAGAAACAATCTGGACTTGGTGCCTCTGTGTGGTCCGGCTCCAGATGAACTCAATTTAGAGGGAAGGCTTTGCGATGACTTTGGAAAGCGATTACAAGATTCATAAATCACCTCGGCAAAGGTGTCACCATCTGACTCTTTTATGGGACTCTTGCTAACTCCGTCCAATAACAAGTTTCCCCTGTAGTTATGCCATCATAACAAATCATTGAAGCGATAGTAGCTAGCCAGGCTCCTAATTGTCTGTTAAGAATTCTGTGAGCTGTGTTCTTTTATTGAAGCATCTCTGTCTTGGAGAAGTGATAAGATGCCAATACGCTTCTCTATAAAAGTACTCTTTGGCAAAAGACACAAACACTTTGCTTGGCCGTCAGGGTAGCTGTGAGGCTGTTATATCTGAAATCGCAGTTGACTTCAAGATTTTTGAGTGTGTCTGCACGAATCCAGAAATCTCTATCAGACGGAGGAATGCTCATAAATTGCTGGCAGAATAAATTTCCTTCACATACAGTATATTTTTTTCTTTAATTTGAAAGAGCACATTCATACACAACACATATAAAAGCCTTTTTTTCTCACTTTATAAAATAAACTAATTATATAAAACATTCAAGGCCGTTAACTTAGAAAAGACTGTTCGGTATTTTGTCCCTTAAATTTAAATTATTTTCTTATTTTCTAAATAATACAACAAATCCACTGTTGATTAACCTTCAATTTTAATTTGAAGGTAACAAATAATTTAACATGGTGAAATAAAAAGAAAAAAAGATTTATACCAAGTTTTATCCCTAAATATGACTTGCTAGACATCTTTTGTCCTGTCCCCCCTCCTTAAACATACCCCACTCATTATTCTGATGTCCAGCTGGTATTTAGGGGACAGGGCGTCTAATGGCTTCCTGTCCTTTTTGTCCAAAAACAGACAAAGGGGAAAAGTTGTTTATCTAAATACTGTGAACAGAAGTAGATTTTAATCTCTGTGCAGAGCTTATTTTGCATCCAAATAACAAATGAACAGAGCTCTCACCTGCTCTCTGTGTAAAATTTGACCTGCTTTACCACAGAAAGGTGGGAGCACTGTCCAAGCAGGTACATTGCTGCTAGCTCACCTTTTCCTTCCAGCTATAGACAGACTGTGTGTGTGTGTGTGGCTGATTCTCTGCTCGCCTCAAACTGCCTATGGGGTATATATAAATTTTGATCAGTTTGCTGTATCCTCAGACATTCATTACAAGGAAATATGAAAGTAAAAGGTGCAATCTCCCGCCGTTTGCTCTTTATTATACATAAACAGAAAACACTTAGCATGTAAAATTAATGTGAAAATTATTCCCGGGGTAAACTATAAACACAGAAGTTACCCTGCACATTTACCCTTTTTTTCTCCTTCCCCTAGATCAGAGTGTAATTGCCAGTAATCAGGTCTGTTTGCTGCTGATAAAACCACTCTGAATGCGAGGAACCCTCTTTGTGTGATGACTCAATTATGCCAGAAGTGGCTCATCAAACCTGGCCCATCAGCTGCTTTAATAAATAAGGAGGAAAACTTGCTGCAGGCGCATTATAATTCCATTCATTCCATAATTAAATCCATTCCAGTTTTAACCCTTCACTCAGTGTGCTTCTGGAAGAGGAAACAAAAACAAGGAGGTGAGGGGGGGGCGCGACACATGAGACAGTGACCTTGCACAGAGCACCCAACCGTTCCCTATAATTCAAAATGATACTGTTGAAGAAAGGTTAAGAGAAAGAAGCTCACACAGAAAAGGATGGGAATCAGTTAAGACGCAGCTCCTGCTTTTTTTGTTATATATATGCATTGTTTCCGCACAGCCTTAGACAGTAATTATATTAAAAGAGTAATCTAATCATAACAGTTGGTTGGTTGAGTGTGCAGCACTGACATTTTGAAATCTTATTTTGTGTAATCTCATTTGCCTCTATCATCTCGCCCGTACCCTCTATCTAAAGGAAATGTAAATAATGTAATTAATTTTATGGTCTCCAGAATCTTACTTTGCTACTCTGGCCTGGTTTATTGGTTTCAAGATGAGGTATCAGCGCAGAGTTTTTCACTCTATCACAATAATGTCTGTGTTAATTACACGAGAGTGTCCCAAGTGCACGGATAAGCTGGGAACAAGGGGACACAAAGACTCAAGGTCAGTGATGAATATCCACAGCAGCTGCACTGTATTAATAAGGCATTATATGAAAATAATAATAATAGCAGCACCCACAACAAAATGCGAGAGTGCGGCTAGAGTAATGTCAGGAGCGTTTGGGTGTTTTACAGATTTTTCCTCTCCACCATCTCTGCTTGGATGCAGCCTCTCTGATAATGGTGTGAGGCAATGGTTATTCATGATTGCCGGACTGGGAAGGTCTCCCTCTTTCTCTACCCCCAGTCACAGCCCATTCTCTCCTCTGTGGTGGGAATGCTAGCAGATGGGGTTGGGGGGAATGGGCTGGGCTCAAGGACACCTAGCAGCCAGATTAACACACAGAAAATCTCATAGACACCCAGCATCAGGCCGCCTCCTTTCCCCCAGAGAAATCTGCCCCAGACGAAGGGAAACCGTCCTCTGAGAAGCTTTATTTGTGTTGGACTTGGGGTTCGTGTATGTGTGTTTATGAGGAGGGGTGGGCGCATAAATATGATTCAGCAGATGACGAACCAGCTCAAATAGTAGTGAGGCTTTTTTCATATGCTAATGAAACAGAGTGAATAACCCTCCCTCCTTCACTCCCTTTCCTTTCCTCCCCCCAGTTTTGTTTTCCTGGGGAAATGCTCTGTGCTATATAATTAAGGAGATGTTGTTGTTGGTTTTTCTTTTTTTTCAAAGCTAACAGAAATAAATAATTCCATAATAAGATCTGTGAAGTGAAGAGGCTTAACATACTCATTGTGTTCTTCCTTGTTTTCCCTCTTGGATGTTTTATATGAATTAGAAGCGAGCAATTTGATCTCTGTCAAGCAATCAATTTGCATTGTACTCCTTATTCAAAGTGATGTGTTAATATGCTCTTTCCACCTTTTCTGACTGTATATTTGATCTAGAATGTAAACTTATAATATTAAAAACCATCAGAAGGTGGGTTTAAGTATAAAAAGTTAGAGATTGTAAAACTGAAGTTTACATGTTTGTATGTTTGGGGATTATTGTGTTACAGATAATGAATTACGTGATTGGCTCCTGAGAGATAAGAAGTGTGAAAGCGTCAACCAGGGTGGACAGTGTGGATCTGGTATCTCATCCTACAGAGCGTTCGGAAAACTACAGTTAAAGGTAAATAATCCTGAACGAGACTCCAACAGAGTTTTTCAATTTGAAATACAAAGTAGAAAAAATACTTTTGTTAGGGACAAAAAAGTCTCCAGGGGATAAATGATTGTGTAACAGTGTTTTGGATAAGTAGCATGCTAAGTGGTAGAGTGTCACTGCTCCTTTGACCACAGTGATCACAAACTGAGATTGGTTTTAACTTATGCAAAGCTGTGGGAGGCTGACAGATAATAAACTCTTTTAAAGGTGGAGCTGAGTCTGCTTGTTCTAAAGTGATCGCTGCCTTTAGGTGTCAGGATGTCTCGGCTCGATTTCTACCTGATGAAACTTTTCTTCTTAAACCATAACAGGAAGTTTAGATAGATATTTATTAGGTTTAATACAACAATACAGTGCTTAACTTTTATTATTAAAGCAACTAAGTGATGTACTGTGCTGGTTTAGATGTCTCTAGTCGATCTCAAGTCTTTGTCAGTTGAATTTCAAACTTAAATAAATGGAAATCAATGACAACCCAAGATGATTGGAAAACCCTTTCCCAAAACAATTGTTCTTTAGAATTAGTAGTGATATTAAATGAACATGTTTTAAAGAAAAACCCTTCATTTCTAACATGAATGTGGAAGCTAAACCCCAAAAATCTGCGTACACAGATTAAATAAATTATCTATTGTTTGACTTTGAATTTATCTATTTGTTCTGCTTAGCATCACGTTTGTGATGTTGTTTTTCATGCCAGTATGACCTGTTAATAAACCCGAGCATCTACCAAGGCCTTTCTTGTTGTCATGTGAATTAGATTTGTACAGCCGGCATCAGCAGGATATCTTCTAATGACAGAAAATACAAAACTTACAAAAAAAGGGTTTCAGGTTTCTTGACAGACTAAAATTTATGTAACCTGTGAAACTGGATACTGTTCCCATTGTGCTGGAAAAGAAAACAGAGCCACAGTCAGACGTATGATACAACCGTATACCTGTTTTTCATTGGTTGGACAAACATACGACTTGATATAAAATGATGAATTGCAACACAATTTTATTTATTCTTGTAGCAATCACTCTCGCTTTTTTGTTTTATTTAACTCACTCTAGCAATCTATTATTATAGCAGTAATCTTTTTAATGATTAACCAGAGGAACTATGAATAGAATGAAAAAAGTGTAACAACTAAAGTGATAAAATATTGTTGTTTTAATATCTGCACAACAGGAGCAGGTCTAAATGTCAAGTAAAGAAAAAAAACAACCTTGGCAATAAACGTGTGTGACTCAGTGGTGATATTTAGGTAAACTGATAACATCATTTTGAACTTTGATTAATGTCCATGCTACAGTCTCAAATTGCAGCATGTAAGAGCAACATTTTGCCTACAGAACAACAAAATCATCCAAAATGTTGAAACATGTCTGTGTGGAAAAGTGTTCCGAACTAATGAGGTACATTCGTTTTTACAGAATGTAATCTATAGTGTTTGGGAGTTGTTTGTCTCAATAGGCTGTAGTAATCAAAAGTAATGAACCTATTATGAGCAGGACCTCAGAGGGCCCGGCGTGGCATTAAGAGTGTGGCACATAAAAGGTTTATTAAAGGAAATTAAGGTCCATCACTGCCACACCTGCTCCCCTATTATAAATGTATGACAGGTCAGTGCCTTCAATCACAACAGCAAACGAGAGAGAGGAGTCATGTTTCCCATTACCAGGGAAAAGTAACAGCATATCCTATGACTCACAGATTTCACTGGCCTGTGACCACTATACGCCACCATCAGCCTGGAATAATTACGTTTAATAGGTTTTATTTGGGACCCACAAGCAACAGCCAGTGAGAGTGGATGGATTTTAGCAACTATTTTTGTCTAAACACACACAGCGAGGTGCTGTCCGTGCGTCAATATCATTATTTAGAGTCATTACATTTTACTCACCTTTGAAAGTTTTTCCCTCTAACATTATACTTTATGTGCATGAATATTATGGCTGTTTTAGAGGCTCTTCCTGATGCTGCCGTGCATACAAATTTTAAGGCTAACTGGCTTTTGGGCGACTGACGAAAATCAACTGCTATATTTAAAAAAAAATTTACATTTCAAATAAAATAAATCAGTTGGGGCTCATGTGTATTTTCCATGTTTCATGTATTTACAGATGGAGTCTGATGGTGAGGAGCAAACCCTGAAAACATGTAACAGTAGCACAGGTGAGTACAGCACACACACACACACTCCACTTACCACCTATGGTTAGGGGTATCAGTTCAACAATTCAACTTTATAACTGTCAATTTTATATATTATCTTACCGGTCTGAAGAGCACTGCACTACCATTTCATTATTCAGAGGGGAATAACTTCATTAAATTGGAACACTGGCTCAAATTAGTTAAGGAGTGTGCATATGTTGTGTGATTGAAAACCTCTAGACTGGATATGTCATTATGCAAGTGTTCGGGGCCTCTGAGGCTCGCCAGCTCACGTTAGAGCTATTATTACATTTGAGGAAATTCATGAAAAGTGTTATTATTGGTTGTGCTTCATGGGAGCACGGGTAGAACTTGTGAATGAGATTGATGCAGGCCTCTGGGAAAAATTGATTTAGCCTTTTAGATCATGTTGTTGGTGCCTCAGAGAACGAGCAAACTGAATGAAATGCTTTTCAGATCAATGACGAGACCACTTCTCCGTTCTTATGCTGATTGTACCCGATGGCATTGTAAAAGAGAATACAATATATGGTAAAAGGCTGAATGAGGCGGTGTTAGCCCTGCTGCTATCATCCCTAAAATGTTATCTCCAAAACAAATATTTAAAGAACATTGTAAAATTTCATTATTTATAGCCCAAAAGTGGTGAGTCACCTTGAACCTTTGATGAAGAACATATTGACAGATGCTGCTCTACTGTAGTGGAAATGTAAACATGACTTTTTTATCTGTTCTATCTTGGCCTTTATTTCACAGGGCTGGCCGACTGCATGGCGGAGACAAACAGGTACAATACAAACGATCTGAACAGTTGTTCATGTTTATCTTAAAGTTTAAACATTTTAGTTATTGAACCTTTACAATGAGCCAGCTGAAGCCTCTGCTGACCCTGCTGTGCTTTTTGTCTGTTCCCCTCTTCCCTCCAGCCCATATGGGTCCATGGCGAGGAAGAGGAGTGCTCAGGAAGGGGTGCAGGGCGCCCCCGTCAACAAGAGAAAGTCCCTGCTGATGAAGCCCCGCCACTACAGCCCTAGCGAGGCATGTGAAGAGGAGAGCGAGGACCTGGCACCGCCACAGGACAAAGAAGAGCTGAGGAACATTGACACTCCAGCAGGTAAACAGATGTCCTGTTGTTTTGTCTGTTTTGATGAACAATTGACGCTGAATTTTAAAATCCCATCTGTTGCATTCATATTTCCCTCCCTCTGCCATCAGCCAGCAGCCGCAGTCATTGTGCAGTGGAAGTGAAAGACTACACTGCTGGGTCCACATTAGTTGTGTCTCACGTCCACAAATTGAAGTTTTGACAGCTGATCTGCCATGATATTTTTGGCGTGGCTTTACCCTCGTTTGATGAGGCCAGATTTCAGACCCCTCATCTGTCCTCATTCAATAGCCAGTTCAATCCCATTGAATGCATAGAATGAAAATGTGAATGGGGGAGTGCACCAGTTCACTTTGATTTAAATTAAACTTCCTCCACTCTTTTATATAGAATGGTTATTGAAGCAGCCTATTGTGGAGGAACAAATGAGTTGTCAGCATCGCTTGGCTGATGTTCTGATGTTGTTCTTTTATTTATTTATTTAAGATTTCACTCAACCACAGGAGGATTTCATCAACAACTGTTTATTTTCACTTATGCCGCTGTCCCTTTCAATAGTGAAAATATTTTTGTTTTTTCCTAATGAATTGTATTTTGTGCATTTGGCAACAATGCTTGTGGTGTACATGTGCATTTTCACCCACTATAATCTGCACTGATTTGGTATATTTTTAATGATGTAACTAAGCAACAAACGTAATTGTCCCTTTCAAAAGCTTTTGTTGGGCCCTCTAACACAGTCTAATACATAATTAGGCATAATGTCTACAGCTCATTATAGTACACATGTGTGTAGTTAAATGGACCAGGAGAGTAGCTCACTGAATTGTGTGGATTCATTGGAAATGGAATTTATTTGTTTCCTGAGTTCATATTACATTACAATTATCTAAGTAATTCACTGTGCATCATCAGTTTTTCCTTTTGTTGTTGTGTGTTCCCGATATGTTTTCGTTTTATCACCCCACATTGATTGACTGCTGTATATATTCACCATCTGAACCTGATATTCAGGGGATGATAGCTTTAAAACAAAACAAATCCAGCCAGTGTTAAAAAAAAGAAGTCTAATGAGTGTCAAATGAACACGGATAATGATAGAAACATATTCACAACATGTTTTGCTGTTATCAGATTTGGGGCCTATTTTCTGTGGGAAAATGAAAAATTGGGAAAAGTGGACTGCAGGCAGTACGAATTTTTGCATTGGGAAGCTGCTCATATCTGCATTTTAACAAAAAGGGAGAAAAATAAGCCTCTTGTTTGGTCGAGCCACACTGTGTTCAACTCCAGCCAACTGCAGCCCTGCTGCAGAGTGCTGGTAATGGCTATTCTGGAGTACAAACTGTTCACCTGTTCCAACACACAAACCACTGGAGGGATCCAAGTTTTTTTCCTCAATCTCTTTCCCTTTTTGCACTTATGTGTGTGTGTGTGTGTGTGTGTCTGTCTGTGTATACGTCTGTGTGCTTTTCTGACTGTATGCGGCTGTGTCAGGCCTGGGAGTCCATCTGGATGAAAAACAAAACCCTTGTTGCTTTCCTCATAAATGTAAATACGTGTAACTGGCTTTAATTTTTCTTTTTCGACAGGGTTTGTCTCCAGACACCCCTTTTTCAAATATTGTCCGCAGCAGGGAACAGATAGAGACACATTGTAATGTTGCCCAGGCACAGTGTATTTGAAAGCAGACATGTCAAATCCACTGCAAACAATAATGCACAAAATCATATAAAACAGTTACGTAGTTTTTTTTATTAGTGCTCGATAATTTCTGCCATATTTTAAAGCTCTTTTGCTGAGGATTAAGTTTGTGTGATGCTCCCATTAATGAGAGGTAGCTGTCTGATAATGCCTATATCTGTGTCATCCTCAACACTGTCTGATTTGATTCTCACAATCTATCGCTATCTATCTTCTCAGTCTATCGAATCCTACTTTCGGGTCAGTCTGTGGTGTCTGGCCACTTAAGAGGATATAGGGTCCAGCCTGCTGAAAGTAAAAACCCTCACAGTCCAAAGCGCCTTAATCGAGTATAAGTTTGACTGGTTTTTGGGATCAAGAGAGATTTTGTCGAATCAATCCAGATGATATCTTTCTATTGTTAATCACTGACCACGACTTAATATTATCAGTGGCGTTAATAAAGTGTTGTCTCAGATGCATTTTGAGGGATAATAACGCTAACCCTCTTTGTCTGCTCCACTGATCAGACTCTCTGCGTTTCACACAATCTTGTGGCTTTCTGCGCCTGTGACTGGGATATCTGGATTTATTCTAAAAGATGGAGGGCCAAAGGTCAATGCTAATTAAATTATTGAGAGCACGCAGCAAAACCATCTGGAGAAAAGAGAGATTATATAAAATGAGTGTTAAAATTTAGAAGGCTACACAAATATATTTCATTAATCTGCAATAATGCATGTGGCATACATGAAATCTTATCACACCCACAAGGATTTAGAAAAAGCCTAACACTAAAAGTGTATTAAGGCTATAAATTTATATTATGTATAAGAAATATATTATTAGAAAAGGTTTTGTAATTTTCTGCAACATTCTGCATTTTATTGGTTTATCGTGGGTAAAAGTTAAACATTAAATTACAAGGATTTTTGTTGTAAATGAGGAAATGGGGGATATTTTTCTCAACAAGTCCCACATCAACTATATCAATGATTTTAATTATAATATAAAATAGCCTTTTAAAATGTGTATTTCAGTCAAATTAATTCTTAATTGGTTGATAATCATAATTTGAGTTAAATAAATAAAATAAAAATTAATAGTTTGACAATCACACTTTTCCTAGTAAAGCTGCTTATAATTGTAAATATATTCAAATATGTTTATAATGTAAATGTATCTTGTATTTTTGTGGCTATTTTTTTGTCATGTTAATTTGGCAAGCTTCTTATTCCTGTTGTGTATTGTTGGCTGTTGAGCTTTCGACACTTTCATCCAACAAGTCAGTGTATGGCCGGCTCCTCCTGAACCAAGTTCTGCCACACACGCGTGCACACACACACACACACGTACACACACACACACACACCAGCAGCTCACAGAAATGTCTCTCTTTTATCTTGGTGTTTGTGGTTTCCTCCATCTGTGTTTTCAAGAATCCTCTTCACTTCCCTTCTTCTAATCACTAGAAACAACAATTTTGTGTTTTTTAAATATTTTTTTCACAGATGACAACATGTTGCTGCTTAGCTTGCATTTACAAATACACATTACTACTTAAAAACTGATGTTCACTGTCCAATGCACCATAAATCCCTCCATAATCTTATTCTAAATCTATTCTGCGATGTTTCTCCAATTAGAGACACAGAGGACGAAGGAAAACAACAGTGTTCTTCATCTCCAGGTCCTGTGTTAAACTAGCAGAGAGAAGGGTCATGTATATTTTCTAACACTTGAAGAATTGCTTGGAAATCTCACAACCTTATGATTATCTGATTATCATTTCCTTTGCAACATGTGTTCTTATAAATCCTCTATGATGGTGACTAAAAACATGTTTTTCTGAAGATATTATTTATTGAAAAGTAATAAGGATTTGGAGAAGATTACCAAGAACAAACAATCTTATCCTGTGTGTGACTAAGGGGTCAAAAGAGCATGTAAAACATGTGAAAACACAAAGACTAATATGTGTTTTCTTGTTGTCTTAGATGGAAACTTGAATGCAATGAATGGAGTAGCCAACAGAAATGGCTTCCATGATGCTGCAGCAAAGTCCAACTGGTCAGAAGTTACGTCCGATAGCTCTCCCCAGTGTGAGCCAGACACATCTGAACCTCTGATGGATGAGGATGAAGAGGAGCTCCGTAATAACGAAGAAGAAGACCAAAGTCGAGGCAAGATGAGCGGTACATCATCGCCTCAAAGTCCTTTAGGAGACATGAGGGAAGCTGAGTGGGAGCCTCTGTCTTTATCTGCCAAGGTTAATGTTAATGGCTTAGGCTTCAGTCCCTCTGAAGCCTCTGAAGACCCGTCAGGCAGGAACGGCCATGTTAAAGAAGAGCCGCACTCAGAACTAGGATCTGCGATGGGTAGAGCGAGCATCTTTCAAGCCGAGGCTTTGAGATACAGGCCGCCCCCTACAGAGGAGGAGAGTGAGGGGGAGATGGAGGTGGAGAGGCCTCCTCGGCTGGACGGCTGGGCGCTGGGCCTCCACGAGAGAGGCCTCGAAATGAGCCGAGGGCGGGTGAACCTCAGCCTGTTGGAGCAGGCCATGGCTTTGCAGACAGAGCAAAGACAGGCCCTGCATCATGCCTACAGGGAAATGGACCGATTCCTCATGGAGCAGATGACCAATGAGAGGAGGCACCACAGGATGATGGACATGGAGAGCAGACTCAGCTATCATGGAGGAAAAGGTAAGAATAAAGAGGAAATGACCTGCGATGTAAAAAAGTCTAAAGAATGAAAATTGATCAGTACGGGAACAAACCTTTTTCACAATTGTATGCAGCGTAAAACAGATAGACCACTTCTGATTTGGATGATTGGATGCTCAAAAAACATTAAAGGAATAAAAGAAGCATACAAAGGTTTAAATCAGAAGGAGAAAATCCTCTTAAATACTAAAAACATTTTGGCAACAAGTGAAATAATAAATAAACTGACTAAAATAAAGAAGAACAAAATTTTCTGATGGAATTGCTACTACTCAGAATATTGGATTTTGATAGGAATCAACTGGATATTTAACCATGACCATAAGTCTTAAATCCTCCTAAAGTACCTCTCATGTTTCCCTCTGATTCTTCAAATGACTGCGGCTAAATGTGTAATCCTAGATGTAATCTTTCGATGGATGGGAATTAAGAAGTGAATGCTCTGTGTTGAACTGCAGCCTTAACTAAAATGACAGATTAATAGATGCATTTTGTGAAAAAAAGTATCTGGCTTTGCATGATATTTCAATCTGTTGACTTATGTTCAATACGTATATGGGACAAGAGCTTTATAAGTATGATATATATCACATTTCTTGACGGAACACAAAGTTTGTTTATGCATCAGTATTTTGAATGTATTTTATTGTTTTTTTTATTCTGAAATCTTAATTTGTTGTGTCTACAGATTCTCCTCGGACTGATAAAAAGGATATCAAGTGTCCGACTCCTGGTTGTGATGGTACCGGTCACGTCACCGGCCTTTACCCACATCACAGGAGCTTGTCTGGGTGTCCTCACAAAGTCCGAGTTCCTCCAGAGAGTAAGTCGAAGCAGTGTCTACGAGCAGTATAATGGATGATTAACACTCATAGAAACGGCCAGTTTTAGGATTTACAATCAGCCACAGTTATTGAAATCCTCTTAGCACGAGCCCGAAGACAAGAAAGACCTGCTCATACGTTTAGTTCAATTCAAAGATGAGCATGGAACTTTTCAAATAAACTTAAAGGATTTTTTTTCTCTCTCCCCCTCTCGCTTTCTACTAATGTGTTGTAATGTGTGCGAATATTCAATTCTCCCCCCCCCCCCCCCACACACACACATTGGCGATTGTTAAGTCATTTCAATATAACTCAACAAACATTCAACATTAAACAGTAATGTTACAAAAGGAACAGAAAAAGTAATTAACTTTTTCAAAAAAGCGCATGCTCTTAGACTGGAGGCAGTATTTGCAAATCAAAGGGCTAGCTAACGCAGTATTCAAAAATAAATAGACAACTCTAACAAACTAATTGGAGAATATGTACAGAAAAGAAGTTTCTAAGGATACAGAGCGGACCTTTAACGACGCTCTTGTTTTGAAGAATATAATCAGCAGTCTTGTTACTCTCCTCATTGCACTAAGCTATTTACATTTCAGCCACATTACATATTCCTCATGGTGACAAAGCCTTTTGCTTTTTTCTGTCTGTCTCTGTAGGATCTTTGCTCTATAGTCTCTAATGTACCAACCAGTTACATAAATCACTGTTTAATGTAGGAAAATGTATTATTTCCTAAATGCACTGTGTATGTGCATATATATATATATATATATATATATATATATACATACGCATGTGTTTACCATATTATAATTTGTCAGCTTCCTTATGTGTCTCATGTTGAATTATTCTGGACATGTTTCTTTTACCACAATTATCTCCTTTCTGCCTCCTTAGTCCTCGCCATGCATGAGAACGTCCTCAAGTGCCCCACACCCGGGTGCACAGGAAGAGGCCATGTCAACAGCAACCGTAGCACCCACCGGAGGTACATCCACACGAGAAAGCCATTAGAAAAACTGTATACCCTGTTCATAGATGAGATAAAGTATTAGGCTAATGTGTTTGATTTCCTCCCCAACCAGTCTCTCAGGCTGCCCTATCGCCGCTGCAGTGAAAGTTTCCAAACCTCAGGATGACGGCCTGAAATGCAGACAAACACCTGACCGCTCACCAAGGTATAATGCCAGATAACACCAGGGGTTTTTACCGCTCTCAGTGTGGTCACATTCATCACATTCAGCTCTGTAGTGGACTAAAGTTGTAAACGCAGAACTGAGGTTATGCAAAAAAGTGATAAACACTATTATTGTTAAGAGAGTGTGGGATATTTTTATTCACTGATCCCAGCAGAACGCACAGTCTATTTTCAGCTTTCCAGGCAGACATAAGCAATGGTTGCTGGTCCTGTGAGCTCCTCTCTATTAGAGATGATAAAAGAGCAGAACTCTTTGTTCCCTGTGGATATATCATGGGCAGGATGCCCACTCCTACTATATTAATTAGTCTGGCAACCTGGCTGTGGATCTACAACACGCATCAGATCCCAGACTCATGTGTACAAAAGTGCTGGCATCCCTGAATGGTTTAAAACAATGTCTATACTTAACTACTTCGTATGAACTTGTGAGGCATCTTATTTTACAGGATTTACACAATAAAATAAAGTCTCTCTTTCTCTCTCTCTCTCTCTTTTTTGCAGAGCCATTGGCTTGATAAAGAAGTTTGAGATGAACCAGTTGAACTACAGGCTCTCTCATCCAGTAGCAGCTTTGCAAACCAGTCTCACAAAAGACATGGACAAGTACAGCAGGATCCGCTTCGATTACGCCAGCTTTGATGCACAGGTCTTCGGCAAGCAGCCTCTGACGGGGACCAACCAGGACCAGGAAATGTCACATTTCCCAGATTGTAAGCTTTATTTATTTTATTCAACCAAAAACATAGCTGAAGTTAACATCTTGTTGAAGATGAACAATTTTGGTCATGTGTTTGCAGTATGAAGACTTAGTTTTAGCCCCCAAAATGAATAAGAATCTTTTTCCAGATATCATGTTTATCAGTTTGTTTTGCTTAAGGGTGTCCTAATTTTTCCTAATCTTCAAAAATCAACTTAAACTTGTGTTCCTATTAAGTTTGGTGGAACACCAGGTGTCTCAGCAACTAAATTATTCACCAATTATTTGTTGTTTAGCCCCTCAGCAGTATCCTGGCTTCCTTGGTGCTCCAGGTGGCCGATTGACCACCTCTGGACAGCACAGCCCGCCGAGTCAATTCAAAAAAGAAGATGGTCTCCAAGCTGAAGCAGCGACTGCCGCCATCCTTAACCTCTCCACTCACTACCGGAAAAACATGGAGGCTGTCGCTGGCCGGCCCTTGGCAACCTCCACAAAGGTAATCAAATTAGTCCACTTGGAAAGGTATTTAATGTGGTCATTTTAAAGGAACTCTGATTTGTGTATAAAAAGGGAAGACTTCAAAAGACAGAATTTGGCAAAGGGAACCTGGTGTTCTGGTGGCAGAAAAACAAGGAGGTTTCCACTCTATAAAGCTTTAATGTACACACATGAAAATTTGTGTAATCACATCAAAAGAGGAAAAACAATCAGCCTTCCTTCCCAATTACAAATGCTCATCTATTTTTTTTGTAAAACGTGGTATTGTATTTAGTTTCGACATCAGCTGGCATGTAAACCCTGAACTGTTGTCTGAAAATGCTTCTTGCCCACTGCAGATGGCTGAGGATATTTTGCTTAGTTATATGATCCAGCATAGGCTGTGTGTCTACACCAGATAGTCTTAAAAAGCGTTTTTATGGATTAAGCCAATCAGCTAAAGGAGTTAACATCTGAAAAGTTTAATTCGCACAAAATCCAAACTCTTTAATGGAAATAAGCGCGGGTCCAAAATCTCTTCAGCTGTCTGCGTCTCCGACCCAGCATTGTGTTCAAACTCACTAGGTGATTAATATTGATCACATTCTGTGGGTTACATACACCGTACTGTAGATGATTCAAGGTTTCCACACCTACACAGCACAGATCCTTGTCTCCCAGCTTGGTGTGCTGAGAATGTGGCCCTGTACCAGGTACCAGCCCACTGAATGAATAAAACAGTGTTAGCAAGTTAATCATCTGTTCTCATTTACAGCTTAGTTGTCTTGGAGAGACATATAAAGAACAGCTTTCAAGTCTGAAAAAGGGGGCCATATTTAGAGTGCTATATGGTGTTGAATGCTTTAACTTATCTACATATGTATATTACACATTGAAATATCTCACAGACAAAAAAAAGCACTTTACAGTGCAAGGGTCTTAAATTACATCATTAATTAATTAGTAAGAGCAAAACAAGAACAAAATCCTTAGTTTTAGTTTTTAGCCATAAAACAAAAATCTAAATAAATCACAAAAAGTCACTGGTGTTGTTTCGATTAGGTACACACATCATGAAATGGCTGCATAATTAAAGTGGACAGCCACATCCAATGTTCATGAAAATTACACCCTTTAATTAATCTGAAAGGCTCCCCCTTTGTTGCAAAAAATACTGATGTATAGGCTTTAATGAAACATATGCGTTGAATAATTGGTTCCATTTATGGGAAAGGATTTCACCATTTAATGAGGTAAAACTTTTAATACCATAAAACAGCCATAAGTCATCGCGCGATTGCATTTCAGCACAAAAAACGACAAACACATCTGTCAGCGGGGGGAAACTTATGCCACATTAAGCTTTTTAATTTTTGCTATAATAATGATGACCTAAAACCAGCAGCCCCCCCTCCTCACTCACGCCCCACACCCCACCCCAACCCACCCCCAGCTGCCATCTTGGTTGTGTGTCCTAGAAAACAGATGACACAGCTGTCACTGAAAAACTACAAACCAGTGATTATTTTTTTTTGTTCAGCAGAATTAACGCTGGCTTAGTTTGGTACTTTGTCTCGTGTGAGCTAACCACTGTATGTTTTATTTATTTTTTATATTTTTTAGCTAAATTATTCCATGTTTATAACGAAATTTCAAATTAAACAAATCGCTGCTGTCAGGCAATCAGGCATCATAATGTTTTATTCAAAATATCTACAGATTGACTAGTAAATTGAATAATTTGTTTTCACATGCTATACTTACAAGACATATTTTATTTATTTTGTTTACTCTCCTGCAACATGATGTTCACAATTGAAAGATTAAATCATTTTTGTCTTTAGGACATGCTAATAGAAGTGGATGAAAATGGCACCTTGGACTTGAGCATGAAGAAATGTAAAGAGAGCTCAAAAGCCCAGACGAAGGCACCTTCAGACGACCCACTGTCTCCCCCCGAGTCCACTGTGGCCAAAGGCGGCAGCGTGCTCATCAGCCCCGCCTTCTACCAGCCGCTGTGTGAGAGGGACAGCTGGGAGAGCCCCATCCCCGTCAACTTCAGCAAAGTGCACGTTTTACAGGAGAGAGAGGTAAAAAACAAAAAACAAAACAACAACTGACACTTTAAATTTTATCCAAAAATGTAAAATGATCATTCAGCACATGAGAGAGGTGGAGGAGGAGAATTTGAGGGCCTTTGGTTTTACTCTTATGTTTTGTAGTAACATAACTAAACAAATAAATATCAACAGAGCTCAAATAAAACAGGACTCCAGGTCAGCGGGTCAGAAATACTGAGGTCAAGTCCTCCAACCTCCCACCTCTTTAACTGACAAGAATTAAAACATGGTGGACTGAATCTTCTCTTATTTATTTTCTTTGTCGGCCAAAATGTCATCAAATTAAGTCTACGAATGTGTAAATACGGTACGTTTTAAATTTAACGTGAAATCCTCCATGTTGTTAAAATTGTTACATTCTGGACGTAACCTGCTGGTAACATACTTGTTAGGAACATTTATTGTGACAGTTTCCACACAGCAGCTCCACTCACATCATCTTTCAAATGAAATAAACATATTAACACTGAGGACCATAGTGCTAATCGAGTCTCCACACATCACTTGCCTGAATGAGGCTTAATCTGGGCTGCAAAGGTTTTTTCTTTTCTTCATTTCACAATAGCAATTTGTTTGTAGTTGATATCAGGAGTTTTCACATTTGACCTGCTTTTAAATCACACAACATCTGGTGACTGCACAGACTTGTCTGTGGAAAAAAAAGAGGAAATCCATACGTCATGGCTATACATCATAAATACTATGTGGATTAAGTATGACTTTAAATGGATGTATGATTTACTACAGTATAAGTATCCTTAAGCGTAATCTCTTTGCCTTGCTCTCTAACCCACAGGGCTTTTGTTGTAAGAGTATTATACCACGGTTTTCATTAATTATTCACTTTTAGGTCAATGCAGATTGTTTTCAGGTTGGACATTTTGGAGTCTTAGTCACTTTTTTTCCTTTATCTCATCTTTCTCCGCAGGAAGATTACGACCAGGTCTCCTTGGAGGACCAGCACTATCTAGGAGACGGCAGCATGTTAAGCCCCAAAACCAAGCTGCTATTACGCGACTCAAAGAAAGAGCTTTTGAGGTATGTTGCGTTTAAGGCTGAAAGTTCTCGAGGCACATTTATTCAGTCAGCTGTGCATAATGTGAGCTTCGCTTTCAGTTGGCAGATGGTCAGTATCAAAGATTAAAAAAAAAAAAAAAAAAACTGTAACTCCAAACCATACCTTTGTGTAAATTGGACAGCTTTGATAGAAGTGAGTCAAAACACACAAATGAAACTGTGTGTTACATATGATTGCAACTGGTATGTCTACAGGTTCATGTGGAGAAGAAATTTGAAATTTGAAGTGAGTTTTCTCCCTGTATGTCCCGTACAAGCTTACAACTCTTGATTCTTGTAGTAATAGAGTGCATGCTCTGCTGGGTCTCCTCTTGAGAATCACACCACGAGAAAAAGTAGGATCCTCTAGTTTCCGCAGCACAGCACCCCCCTCCGATTTTCCTCAGTGACACTCAGAAACAAAGACACAAAATAATAATTTTCTACTAAACTTCCCGCTGTACTAACTCTTTTATTTTTTTATCTTTAATGCCCATAAAAAGGTTCTCAGTGTAAAAGAAAAGATTCAGTTCAAGCTTGGCAAAGTCTGTGGGAAGTGGAGTAATCTGTGTATTAAATGCTTTGTGCTCTCCTGCAGCTGTCCGACCCCAGGCTGTGACGGCAGCGGCCATGTGACGGGGAATTATGCATCACATCGGAGGTACTGAAATTAATTACACTCTTATTAGCACCAGCTATAGCAGATATATAGACAAGGGAAACTGTGCTGATTGTTTAATTGTGTGGATTGTTCCAGTGGTAAATGTGTCACATAGCTTGTGTTCTTTGCTTTGCTTTTCCACACTGGTGACTGGAAGAAGCTTCTTTTTTTTTCACAAGGACGACGCTGAATTGTGTTTTCAAATATTTTTGTATAAATATGCGTTGAGACATTGTATTAAGATTATTTAATTCGGCTGTGATCAAAGAGTGCATTAAAATGACTGTTAGCTCCTTATCCTCTCTAGTGTGTCTGGATGTCCCCTGGCTGACAAAACACTCAAATCACTGATGGCAGCCAACTCTCAGGAACTAAAGTACGTGTTTTGAAAACTGCTATAGGATTTTTTTCACGTTAAACTAGGCAGCTTGTTTTTTTTTTTTGCCTTAGCGAAGGTCTGCTGAGTTCAATGCTTTCCTTTCCTTTCCTTTCCTCTCCTCTCCTCTCCTTTCCTTTCCTTTTCCACATTCAGTTTCTCTGTACTCCACATGAAGTTGTTTGCTATTTGCACTCTCTCTCTGCATATTAGCATGAATCCTTCGCTCCGCTCTGCTCGCAGTCTTTTGCTATAAAAAGCACCTGGTCTCTGTGTCTCTCAACCTGCAGGTGCCCAACACCTGGTTGTGATGGATCTGGACATGTGACTGGGAACTATGCTTCGCACAGAAGGTAACGGAGGAAAAAGCCACCGCAACTGAGCACGAAATACATTTTGTCAGATGTATGACATTCAAACAGATGGTGAAATTCTCACTTTATATTGCAAACATGTTGCACTTTTTGAGTTCTTGTTTTTTACTGATTTTGTTGGCTGCATTTTCTATCTATGTGTCTGTGTCACATAGCTTGTATCCATAGATTTCATGTCATTTCTTTTCCACACTGGTGACAGGAAAAGGCTTTTTTCTCACGAGGAGGAAGTGTTTTTAAATAATTGTGTTTAAATTTGCATCGAGACATTTTGTTGGCGTTATCTATCTTTATTTTATATTATAGCTTTTCCATTTATTTATGTTCCATCTATATTTATAAATCAAGATTTGTTCAAACACACACAATTAAAATTCCGCAATGTTCTGCCTGTATGATTTTAGCCTTTGTTTAGATTTTCCTTCATTTAACCGATTGTCTTTTTCCGACCATTTCTAGCTTGTCAGGATGTCCACGTGCCAGAAAAGGAGGTTTGAAGCTCACACCAAACAAGGATGACAAAGATGAACCAGAGCTTAAGTAAGAGATGTTTTTTTCCTCATCCTATGCTGTCGCTGTCATGTTTTTTTGTTACAAAAATAAAACAAGAAGCATTGTGGAAAATGCGTCATGCGTTTGTGCCTGGGGGCGGGGGGGGGTGCATTATACCTGCAGGCCATTAAGTTAAACAAAGAAAATAATACTTCTCTTGTCATAACATTAGTGAATTATTTTCTGAGGATTAGCAGTGTGGTTTTGTGGGATTTTTTTCCCAGGTTTTTTTAAAATATTTTTGCTATTTTCTGAATGGCGTATCTGGCTTATCACTCTTCACTGAGAGCTTTCTTTGTAATTATAGTGAACTAAGAAAATGTTGAATGGCCTGCTCTGATGGCATTGCACTCATTTGCAGCTTAATCACTGTTGCCTGTGAAAGTGTTATTGGAAAAAATATAATGTAATTGATTTGCAGTTTAAATCCAAAGTCAGATATATGAGCCCTTGTTTACTTATACATCTGGACACTGATTTTTTCTTTTTAATTACTAATGCAAGGGCACGAGCTTAGGAATTAGACTGGAATAGATCTCATACACATTAAGAGAGAACGGGAGAGACAGGGGGAGGGTAGTCCCTAGATTATTGTAAACAGTGGGCCATATGGCATGCCTCCATTGTCCTGGTGCCTTGCATCAAGCTTCCTACCTGTGGTAGATGTAAGTAATGGGACTGGTGTTGTTTTGTCCTCTAAGTGCTGCCGTGCTGTCGAGTAACAAAATGCTGAAACAGGCTTTTTGCAGTAGCACTCTGCAGCGCGCGTGCCATTTGTATCATCTCAGGTGACCTTTCACCTTTATCAATAAGGGAAAGGGTGAGCCACCTCCAAATTACATTCTTTCGCATGAGGGGATACATGACAATTATCTGTAATTCATGTCACTCCATTACTGACCTGCAGAAAACAGACCTGAAAACACAACTGACAAACTCAGTGATATTCAGCGCCAGCTTATGTTTTTCCGAGCGCAGATATCAGTCACCTGCAAATTCATGCACTGAACGCAGCGTTCGTTCGGACTCAAGTTTTAGTGGATTAGTAACTTGGAGATAATGTGATTATTTGAGTCCATTTCTAGTTTTGGCGACTTCATTTTTAATCAGCATTTGGCTGCGGATTAATCAACGTAATGGTTAACAAATCTTCCGGTCTAGTTATTGAAAGAGAGATTTTTTAATAATCTCAGTGAATGATTTAGTTTCGTGTTTTTGCAGTTAAACAATAAAGTGGTTGTTATTTTGTGCAGTTAAATCTGAAATGTTTACAACATGTACAACTCTTTGCTGGTTTCTCTGGTAGGTGTCCAGTTATTGGTTGTGACGGACAGGGCCATATATCGGGAAAATACACATCCCACCGCAGTGCAGGCAGTTGTCCACTCGCTGCCAAAAGACAGAAGGAGTCGTCCATCAACGGGCTGCCCTTTGCCTGGAAGGCCAATAAACAGGAACTGCCCCATTGTCCCTTGCCTGGCTGCAACGGCCTTGGACATGCCAATAATGTGTTTGCCACTCACAGAAGGTGAGGTCGCCTGTCCTCCATTTTATCTCTAAACAAAGCTGCTGGTGGACATGGTGCATTCTTACAATGGCACCTTGTTTACCCCCTTTCACAGTCTCTGTCTATGATGAAGTTTGGTGATATTTTTGCACCTAAAGTATTGTATTTATGTCCTGCTGAATTAGCTTGTCAGGCTGCCCACTGAACGCACAGAGCATCAAGAAAAAACACTCCGAAGAAGAGATGATGACTATCAAACTGAAAGCCAGCAGTGGTAAGCTACTCACTATACTGAGAGTGCTCAAGTATTTAACAGTTAAATGAAGGGAGAATAAAACAATATCAATAATTCATGTATTCTTTATCAATATTACTATAACGAAGGTTGAATATATATCGATATATTACTTGTACATTGAACAAGCAGTGAGAAAGATGTAACACATGATTAATCAAGCTCAGTTTTGTAAAATGTTTTGCTGTTGCACAACCTTGACTCAAAAGAAAAGATTAGTCTTTGTGATATTTATCGTGATAATTATCAGTATCGACTCAAATGAAACTTTATATCTTGATGTCATTTGATGTCCTGGCATAAAAAAACACAGCATTTTCAGTTTGAACATGATAAACTGGATTCTCTGTTTTAACTCAGGTGTCGAAGACAAAGACGATGTTCAACATTTGGATCATGAAATAGAGGAACTGAATGAGTCCAACATGAAGATAGAAGCCGACATGATGCAACTCCAAACCCAGGTAAGGATCTACTCCCACAAGTTTGTTCCGGGGACGCCAGCTCGAGATCTGTGCTCGCTCAGTTTGACAAGTGTCTTTATTTTTTTTGTCTTTGTAAACGAAAGCAGATCTCGTCTATGGAGTGTAACCTGAAGACAATTGAGGAGGAGAACAAGATGATCGAACAGCACAACGACAGCCTTCTGAAGGAGCTCGCTTGCCTTAGCCAAGCTCTCATAAACAGCCTAACTGACATTCAGCTGCCTCAAATGGTACAGTAAGCCTCAACCACAGACTCCACCACAACTCATTATTTCTAACCTGTCCTGGAAGAAATCTTATTATTGTCTTTTCTCTTGTGCTGTTGTCACTAATAGTTCAACATGTTTTTGTTGCAGGGACCCATCAGTGAGCATAATTTTGAAGCCTATGTGAACACATTAACTGATATGTACAACAACTCGGAGCATGAATACTCTCCAGAGTGCAAGGCCCTCTTGGATAATATCAAACAGGCTATTAAGGGCATCCATGTTTAAGCTGTGGAGCTACCGAGAGGTTTCTTCGACTTGGGATAATGGCACTAGATAGCTCTATTTCACTGAAGAGTGCTGGCTTGGCTGCATGTGCAAGACGAGGCTTTCGGAAATGCGTTTGGCATTTGCATTGGCGGTAAATACACTGCACTGAGAAAATGACCAGCCGGATCTGTAATGCTTTTACTGTTTCTGCATTCACTTGATAGGTTTATCCTGGTGAGATTCTTACCCCTCTTGCACTTAATTATTTTGTATGGTTTGCTTGATTTTAATCTGTATGTGTTCATGTCATTATTATATTATCGCTATTTATTATTATTATTATTATTATATTTGTTCATCAGTGTATTTATTTCCTCTATTTTTATTTATTTCTTGAATTGTAAATGCTTAATATCTGAGAAATCTGTTTTACTTTCTGCACATTGTAAATTACATAGAAGCACATTCCAATTTCATGGCATACTTTCGCCATCTAGTGTTGAAAAACGTATATTATTATTATTATCATTATTATTATTATTATTATTAGACCATAAGTTGGATCTCCCTTCAAAGAAAAAAAAAAAAACTACCAAAATATCTAAGCATCAATATTTTTAAGCATTGCTTTTGCTTTCTTTATTGGAAACTGAATGTATGGTAAGACTTCGTGAACACTGAGGTAAAAAAAAAAATGCAATGAACCTTTTACTTCACAACAAATAACAGTTGAATGCAACCAGGAGGTGACACTGAGCAAACATGCAACATCCCTCAGTGAACTGAATGTCTGATTCAGCTTAGCATAGCGTGCCACAACCGGAGAGAAACAAAAATCCACTTTGTCAAGATGTCTTTCTTTAAAAAAAAAAAAAAGTATAGATATTAAACTGCCTTCTGTGCACACACGTGGGAGTGTGCATATAGTATGTGCCTAAATGTATATGAATCCATAAAAATATATGAGTACTATGTTTTGTGGTAGGACAGTATTACGTGGATGGTGTCTAATTTATTATACAGTACAATTATTTTCATAGAAGGAGACGTTCCTGATGACTGTTTAAATACCGTTGTCTCAGTAGCTGTTATCTCAGAGTTATGTTTTCAAATATCCCGACTGAGATTGAGAAGTCCGGTGTTGATTTGAACTTTTGCGAGCATGGACAGGGAGAAAGAGGAAGGAGTGAATTTTCAAAAAATAATTTTTAAAAATACATCTGCTCCTGTTTTATCTTAAACTGCTTACAAGCCTTAACATTTCAACCACTCTCACAGTTTGAATATTCCAGTAACGCTTGGGGCAGATCTTATAATAGTAGCTGTTTCCAAACCAAGCTGACCTCCACAAGTCACACAAATTCAATCATTAAATGCAAAAAGAGAGAAAAAAAGAGACACGTGATAGTTGTTGGCTAATCAGTTGTTTGTTTGCATCGATTGCACTTTTGTATTTCCATGATTTCTTGTTTTTAGTTCACCACACTGCCCTTGACTTCAACAAGAGAGAAACGGGACGCTGTAGTCGCTACATGTGTCTTAATTTAACATGAGGCTTATCCCAAGAAAATAATAATAACGGTAATTCATTTGAGCAATACATTTTCCATTTCTGCAAAAGGAAGTCAAAGACATGTAGCCTGCGACAGTTCAAAGAAAAAAAAATGTAACAGCAGAAGAGCCAAATTACAGAAAAAAATAAGACCCTATTTTATCCTAATACTCGATATGTTTTAAAGAATTTTAATCTTTTAAAAACTGAATCTCGTTCTTTAAAACTAACAATCTTTTATTTATAATTTATTCTATTGAATTCCTATACCACACATCGTTTGCTCAGGAAGTTTTGTGAATGATATTTATTTTTCCCCGTTAGTATTTGGTGTTTTGTAATGTGAAATGCTTTTTTGTGGAACGATATTAGTATGATATGAAATTGTATTGTATTTCTTTTCTTTTACATTCAAATGTAATGCTTTTTTTTTCATTTGGAGTAGTTTGTAAATTGAAACTTCCTATTACTTTTACTCTTTCATAATAAACAGATATGCGCTGTGTTGTACAGTTTGTGTATGGTAGAAATAAACTTTTCAAATGGTTGTGTGGTTTCTCAAATGAATGTGAATCCAGTTATCAACTTTCCTTAGGCTTTAGCATCACCCAGTGGTGAATATCACACATTGCATCCAAAACAACAGGGGGCAGTGGTGTTCATAGACTGTACCTGTTCATAAAGAGGCTCAGACACTGAGCACCAGGAAGTGTTCACAGTTAGAAATCAAAATAAGTGACGCACTGCAACGACGCATAAAAAAAACAAAAAAACGTAGAATCCAGTTTATTAAAACCCAAATGTGACACCTTTCCATCACTTCCATCTCTTACATTGGAATACGTTTTTATTTTCATTGAAAAATCACCACATTTCAGAAGCTAGAACTAAAAACATCACGTCATTTCAGCAGGAAACATAACAAACTATCAATCAGTTATCAAATTAGTCGCAGGTACATTTACAGCCAATCAACAAATCATTATCTTGATGAACTCCACTTCTCTGAACTCAGTGTTACAGATTTTTGATGAGATAAAAAACAACAGGTCGAAGCAGAGAAGATTATTCTGCTATAAAAACAACACGGGGGAAAAACGAATATCAGAGTCGTTCAGAAACCAATGAAAAACTGATTCATGAATTAAGATGTAAACAAACAAGTGAGTTACAGAAACAGTTATGTCAGAATTTGAACAGGAAGAAATTTCATACCTCATGATTCAAGAGTGAAACAGATGTTTTAATGAACATCTGTATCCTGGTATCACTGACAGTAATGTGACAAACAAAGATTTAAAGCTGCACAAAACAGAAGAATGCCAAATAAAAATTCTCAGGTTCCAGCTGCTCAGTTGTTTTGTGAAGCTCTTTGTGTTTTGGACAAAACATTTAATGTCAAGAGTTTAAGGAGCAGGTGGCCCCAAAAATGCAGAAGCAAACAAAGTAGTAAAACAAAGTCCAACAATCCACACACAGAATATTCACTCGAAAGACTAAAGTGAAAAGACATAAAAAAAAACCCACTAAGAAACAAGAAGACACTGGAAACAATGAGAAGATACGAGAGAGCAAAACCATGACATCGACATGAGAAAGGCAAACAACGCTGAAGTGACAAAGGGAAGCACAGAGTCTTTTATACACAGGGAGGAAGGGATAATTGGACACAGGTGAAACACATGAGGAAGGTGCAGACAATCACAGGGGCAGGAAACAGGAGACCAACAGGAAGTCAAGGTGGAAACAAAAAGAAAAGAAACAGGAAACAGAGAACTCACAAAGAAACAGGAAGAGTCATCAAACAAAGTGTCATTAAACAAATCCATGATTCTCTTCATCTAAGAGCTAAAGTTACAGTTGAGTCCAGAGTCATGACATTTAAATAAACAACTTAGACTCAACAGGCATTTTCCACTTGTCTGACATTCTAGACACCAAAGTGATGACGTGAGGAAGAAATCTCCACAGTGATTTAAGGTAATTGTTCATTCCGGTGATGCAGAGATGATAGTGAACGTTGCACAAACTGAACCTCATCAAAAGCTTGTATCTTTAAGTATTTATTTACACAGAGAAGTGGCAAATCAGAGTAAATTACATCCAAGGGCCAGAGGAAACAGAGGACACAGAAGAAACAGAGGTTGGATCTGGGCGTATGCTAACAAACGGATTGTTAAGAATCTGAGGCTGCTCGCTGACACTCAATCCACCACATACATGCCCCCCCCCCTGTCACCACACAGACCTGTAATGTATATGTGCTGCGTGTGTATAATGTGAGAGTGTTACAGATATATAAAGTAACTTGACGGCCACACACAGACACTGGCAGGATGTGACCTCAGCTCACCCTGCTGAAGTAAACTGTTCATATTCATCTGATTAAGCACCGAGGAAGGGAAATGTTTGTTTTCATGGAAGTAATGAAAGAAGCAAATCCAGGATCCTGGTGAATGTCATGTCATAATGTACTGTTCAAATAGTCATTTATATTTTATTGTGTGTTAGCTGAGGATACTGCTTTCATGATGCCATTATAATGACATGAGGAGGAATAATACAGAATGTATATGGACTCAGTGTTCCTCCAATATAATTGAATTCAGGAGGCAGAATATTATGTAGGGAGATAAAATCCCACAACGAAGCAGTTCATAAAAATAATTTAAATTAAGTGAAATCAGAAATTTTATCTGGTTTAAATTTGCTTTGGCCATGAAAGACCCCTGACTGTGGCTCCTGCTCTGTAATCATGATGCATAAAAAAAGGTCTTGTTTGATTCATTAGTCATTCGACACGTCTCCAGGCCGTGAGAGAACAAATGAACCCGGACGAGTAGAGATTCAGTTACAAGAAACTTGAATGAACCCAAATTCTTGTGTGTGTTGTTCTATTAATAGGTTGTTTTCACTAAAACCTGCAGGAGAAGTGTTCTGCCACGAAACTGAAATCAACTTATCCAACGATCATGAGGAACAACTTTTGATTAAAGCTGATACTAATCTACTCTCCTTTCTAGGAACCAAGTCAAAAATCAGGGAAGCTGATAGTTGTGTCTGTAAAACACTTTGATGGCCTGAGTGAAGCCTGAAAACAGAACAACCGCTGCTTTGGTTTATTGAATTTCTAAATGTTATTGAACGGACTGAGTATTTTTTAGGCAACAAAACTAGAATGGCACATAGTAGAGAGGAAACCTCCGCCGAGGCCCAACGGACCCCTTAGGTTCAATTAATGTGCAATTACCCACATTTATAGAAATGAGTCCCCTCAACACGCCAGATGTGTCTTTTATCAACATCCATAAATTATTAAATAGGAAATCAAGGACAATATTGAAAAATGACCTGTCTCACAATGTTAAAGAAATAAAACAACAATACCCTGGATCCGCCCCCTGACCCATTACCTATCCTTCCACTGAGTTTCATGGAAACACACTGGGGTGGAAACACAACCTTGGCGGAGGTAAAGAAAGATGAGGTTATGTGAGGTCCATGGAACCTTGGCTCTCTGTGCTAGAGAGTGGCCATGAATCTTTCCTTATTTAACCTGGTGAAGGTCTGTTCCCACACTTCCAGGGCAGAGCGGAGCAGAGCAGGCTAAATTAAGGCCTTTCCTTAAGGGAACTGTGTAAGGTGAGAGGGTGGGACATGATTTCCAGGATCACCCCAGGTTTCTACACTCACTTATGATCACAGACACATTAGGATTATGTTCTTGGTAAGTTTTAATCAGTATTTAGGGTGTGTTGATTTGTTAAGCTGCCAGTGACTGGTTAATTAGATACACACACAGATGGATGGCATCATTAAATACAAGTCCAATTCAAATAGCTGGAAAACATGCATCAAACTGGACGGTAATGAAATTATAAAACAAACTGCA